AAATAAGTTCATCAACCAAACCAGACATGTCTGGTTACCCAATTCCAGTCTTACCTTTCCTTGGAGGGTTAAACGTTAATGACCCTAGACTGAAAGGTTAGGACAAATGCTTTCATAACTCGATCTTTATGCTTACAAGCTTATATCTCATCATCTCAACCATACTTGTTTACGGACCTACGCAGTCTCAATCAAGGCTTTCTCTTGGCTGCTTAGGTCTTGAGGATCAGAACTTGAGATTAATACTTTGACAAGTCTGATTTACGAAGAGTATTGAATATAGAAGCTAACACGCACAAATACACATACTCACACAATCGAGCAAAAATAGCAGGACCAGTATGAAAGATAATTAAACAAACCACTCTTTATCGATCTCTATAGGTTTTTCAATTTTCTTTTGGCTTAGCTGAGTCTATAAAAGATGTAAGATAAAGCTGGATAGTCTTCTTGGTCTAGTGTTAACGAAACCCTCTTACAAGAATGACACCCAGCTCTGATAATCTCCATCATATGAGTGACGAAAGCTCAGCCCGTCTTCACTCGAAACGTGGGAGGAAGTCTCCTGGACCGAGTCAACATGAATATCATATAAAAGCCCAACGGCTGCAGTACAACGAGATTTATCCGTCCTCATCGGCTGAAATCGACCAAAGAATCTCTTCTTCATTCACTTTCATACGAAACGAAAGTTCCCCAACACCTTATATCACTTAAGCCGTCTCAGTTATTATCAAACATTTTTTGATTTATTTAAAGGTACTAATTAAAATGAAATAAGTTACATTTAGGTTCCAGAATCGACAGTACTTAAGATGGACCTTTAGCGACCCCTATCATAACAGGCCCACTTTCCCGGCTGTCATCAGTGAGAGCGTCTTTGACAACTCAGATTTCCAATTCTCTATGCAGTACAGGTTAATGCAGTCATTCTTTTGGTTCCAAATTAAATAGCTTGCCCTCTTCTGGGACTTCCAGACGACTTCAAATAGTATTTGGGCTGACATAATAATGACATCCAGTTTGATGTCTTCATTCAAAAAGCCTCTTTTTCGCATAGCTTCTTTGCGCCTACTCTCGGAGCAATTGCATCTCAATGTCCCCGGCCAACCGGGCTCGGTTCCGCCTCCACAATGCATCTTAGGGTTGCTCCGGTATCGATTCACTGGCTACACTGCGCCCTTGAGACCACAGATCTGTTAAGTAATCGCTTTGTCGTCACAGTTGGTGTGCGTGAAAACTGCACAATGATGTCCTTTTGAGAGTAAAAGTGCTGACAAGCACCATTACTCCATCATCTGACCACGCCACTTTTCTGATTTTAAAGGCCAGATAACTTGAATTTCCTCTCATTTAAACTAATGTCCCCTATTTCCGCTATGGTTGCTGGTTCATTGTTCGATCTGACCCTTGACGGAACTACGGTATCTCGACTAGGACGCATTCAGGTCGTTGTTAAAGCAACAGCCTAAGTTAGCAGAATACCTGTTGATAACCGATTGTAGCAGATGCGATAAAGAAATGTATTTGAAAGTAATCGTCAAAAAGTTCGCAATCTATGTTCTGTATATGCTGTTTCGATCACCCGCCTCCTTTGTAATGCTGCACTCTGAGTGTAGGCCCCAAAGCTGACAGAAGAAGTACTTAATGAATACGTATTGTATATTCCTTAAGTGATATTCGTAGCCGTAAGCTAGGTTGAAGATTAAGATCTTAAAAGTTGTTGCCACCTTCGCCCGAGTGTATCGAGAGCCGAGTCGGAAAAGCTTCGTCCTATTGGCACTACCTCGCGACAATCATGGAATGTGAGTATAAAGTCTAAAAATAAAAACATAATCAGCTTTAACAAGTACCTTAAATATGAAAATCAAGATGGGCTGACGTTTCAATTGCATTTTATATAGCCTTGGTAGTCTCGAGAATCTACTTATATATGCAGTCGATTGTTATAGCAAAAATACGTTTGCTTCATCGACAATCCAACCACTGAATGTGATATGGCAAAAGGCCTGGTCTTCCTTGAAGTTCACGTCTGCCCTGTGGCAATTTTGCCGATTGGTCAATATGTCAAGCTCACATTCTGCACTGTCGCGGTTCGACTCCCGTTGGGGTTATTGATAAGACCTATGCGAGGTCAAAACTGAAGCCGATCCTGGATGAGGACAAGTTTTGGGAAAGCAAGGCTATATGAAATTCCATGGAAATGTCAGCTTTACTCATATCATTGTGGGAAAATGCTACAACCAGTCGTTCATCACCTTAAACGAAATAAGGTGAATGCAGCTCATATTTTTAGTTTACTGGTAGTCTCGAAACTCTACTTATATACGAAAAACAAGATGGTATGTCTTCTTGATTAGGTCCCAGCCTTCTTCGCTATTAATGTCTATTATTTGATCAACTTGATTGCGTTTTCGGAGAGACTTCGAAGAACACATCTCGTATTACGTCCTTTGTCATTGCATAGTCTTATTACATCATTCGATGGTTGTTCGCATTTATTCCCAGACCCTTCAATAATATCCTCATCAACGTTATTGGTCGGCAGCACTATTTTTAGCATTTAGTGACAGAATAAGCCACCAATTAATTGCAAACCTTTCATTCTATAATTAAACTAATTCGAAAATGGATAATATATCAGTTGAAAATCTTACATTTATATTTGGAAAGATCGCATCTCTACCTTGTATCACCAATTGAATTATTTAATTG